GTGCAAAAGCTCAAAACGACCGGTCGGGTCGTTACAATGTGGTGCTATAAAATATTGCTTATAGTATCTTCGAGTAAGCTTCCCAGATCTAAATTTTTGTGTGCATTTGAATATCCACCATTGTTGGGCTTGAAGCTCAATTTTATTTTTGAATATTTCTTGTTTGATTCAAAGTGGGTGCTGTTAAACATTGCTTATAGTACCTTCTGGAAGTTCATACTGAAATTTGATAGCATTTGGAGGTAATTGAGATCAAAATTTTCAGTTGAAAATCGAAGAAGAATACAGCTACAGTATACCGCTATGGTATACAATATGTTGTAGGAGTATATAGCTATACTGCAAACACAGTTACCTAACAGTATACCGCTACAGTATACAATATACTATAGGAGTATATAGTTATACTGCAACGGTATAATATTATAGTATATAATATATTGTTATAGTATACTGTAATAATATGCAATATACTGTAACGATATGATGTAATAGTATACAATCTACTATAATAGTATACTTATTACCCGTAAATTCACTTGCCTTTTCCCTTTTAATTTTCTTTAAGCTTTTACCCAGCGTGAGAGGCAAATTGAATATGCAAAAAAAAATTATGGTATGCTATATAATGTAATGGTATACTCTTACCATTAGATCCTTTTAGAATTTTTTAAAATTTTTGTTGACAACTGATATTATTTCTGTTTAATAATTGAATTAAACTTTTTTTAACTCTTTGCGTACAATTGTATACCATGTTGGTATAACTATATACTATACTGGTATCATATGTTTAATATTTTTTTGGTTGTATTAGCTACATTTAATTGGTACACAATTTGATTTTTCTCTAGTAATTATATATATATATATATATATATATATATATATATATATATATATATANTGAAGAGAAAAAGAATATAAAAAAAAGTTAAATGAAATTAGAATAGGAAAAAAGAAAAAAATAAGAAGAAAACGAGAAAAAGGAAAAGGAGAAAAGGAAAAAAAAAGAAAAAAAAAGAAAAGAAAAGAAGCATAGAAATAAAAAAGAATTGGAGAATAAATAAAAAATTCCCCACAAAACCTACCATGGTTAGGAAATGTAATTAGTTTATGGGTAGAAAAACAAATGGGTAGACAAGGATAAATAATGGAATTTTTACATTCCTATGCCACATAGGAAACCTTATTACCCTCAATGTTTAAGGTTTGACTTAATTACACTTAGTATACCAAATTACCAATTCTATACCATAATGTATTTTAAGGGTACAATTAATGCTGCCAAACAAAATCAGTTAGAGCTTTTGGTGTTTTGTAAATTCTCGTGTTGTGCCTCACGTTTCCAGTTCCTTGAGGATCCATGACGTGGCTGCTGACAAGGATAGCTGATTGGGCATCGGAAGTGTTCATAACAACTTCTCACAACTACTGGCAAGAATTAGTCAAAGGTTAGGCTAAGTAATAGCTACATCCTAAAACATTGGCAATGAATAGCTAAATCCTACCAAACAAACTGAAGATTAGGAGAATATGAATATTCAACCCCTAATTTAATTCTCCAATTTTATGCTTGTCCCTTTCTAAAATTCAGATTCGCCCAAAAAAATCGCACACATTTAATAAAATCTTCAATCCTATAAGTTCAGACGATTTCATGGCAATAACATATATATCACCATGTATATCAATGTATATCACTAATTAATCTAACCTGCTAGTGTGTGGGATTGAGGTTCGATTGTAGCTTGTAGCTTAATTGGTATTTTCGACATTGGTACAATTTCTCATTCAATTGTAGCTTAATTGGTATTTTCGATATAATTGCGTTTTTTGCAGAAGATTTGTAGAAGTTTTAGTCGTTTTTGATTTGTGAAAACAGAAAACAAAGCATCTACAATCAAAATACAAATAATCTACCATTTATCTACAAAATATCTACAAATTGGGTACATTGAATTTTAATATCCCAATTCTCATTCAATTGTAGCTTAATTGGTATTTTCGACATAATTGCGTTTTTTGCAGAAAATTTTGTAGAAGTTTTAGTCGTTTTGGATTTGTGAAAAAAGAAAATAATGCATCTACAATCAGAATACAAATATTCTACAATTCATCTATAAAATATCTACAAACTGGGTATATTAAATTTTAATATCCCAATTCCCATTCGATTGTAGTTTAATTGGGATTTTCGACATAATTGCATTTTTTGCAGAAGATTTGTAGAAGTTTTAGTCATTTTTGATTTGTGAAAACAGAAAATAAAGCATCTACAATTAGAATACAAATAATCTACAATTTATCTACAAAATATCTACAAACTGGGTACATTGAATTTTTATATCCCAATTCCCATTCAATTGTAGCATAATTGGAATTTTTGATATAATTGCGTTTTTTCAGAAGATTTGTAGAAGTTTTAGCCTTTTTTATTTGTGAAAACAGAAAATAAAGCATCTACAATCAGAATACAAATATTCTACAATTTCTGCAATATGTCTTCTTCTTCTTCTTCTTCTTCGAGTTTCAATCTGAAATTCAGTCAAAACCAAGTCTAATCTTCATCAAAACCCCTCAAAATTGAGATATAAACTCCAAACTATATTCCCGATTATTTTCAACAACACCCAATCCAAACAAATAATGATTTTTGAAAACCCAAATTTGAATTCAAAGCTTTCAAGCTTTTTAATGGCTGTCAATGGTGGAATTGCTGTTCTTTTTTCATTTGCTTTGTATTACTGAAATTTGCGACTGAGAAATAGAGAGAGATGTAGAGAGAATGTCGACGAACAGAGCTTTTGCAGAACTGATTTCTACAATTTGAAATTGAGCTTCTGATTTCGACGAACTGAGCTTTTGATTTGTGTCTTAAGCTAAAATATCGAAGAACAGATCTGAGTTTTTGAACAGATTTGATTCCGACGAATTGAGCTTTTGAACAGATTTTATTTGTGGCTAAATCAATTAGAAGATTCTGTTCCTGAATTTTAGCACGCCTAATTAGGAAGATTCAGCTACTAATAATTAGTATTTAATGAATGGTATACTAATTGTACGAAAAATGTGGACACGGTGGGTAAATTAGAAACTGTGCACATTTTTGGTAATAAAGTTTCATATATGGTATAAGAAGAAAAAAATCTCATAAATAATTTTGTTTTTGTGGGTAACTGTGTCAAAACCCCAACTTTAAAAGTTGGCCTAATTGGGCAGCAAGAGTTGATTGAAGACTCTCACATCTTGGGTCTGCTTTGATCAGTTTGAGCTGGACTGTACAAACATTTGGCAATACTTTTATACAAACGATGCACTTTGGGGAAGCCCATTTTGGAGAGTCACACTCCCGTAACTATGCAACGATCATGAAGACAGCTCAATTGTGAAGAGATCGTACTTTGAGAATAAGAGCCCGTTTGCACATAAGAATTTTTTCATTTTTTTCGATTCAATTTTTTGCCATAAATTTTTAATTTTCACTTGAAAATGAATTATTAAATTTTTCGAAAATTTGAAAAACTCCAAAAAGTTGTTTTTCAAAATTTTTACTCAGATCACCCACAAAAATTCAAAAACAACCCAAAATTATATTCATGTCCAAACAAACTCTAATTTTCAAATACATTTTTACTTGAAAACAATTTTCACTTTTTTTTTGGAATTTTACAATTCTTATGTCCAAACGCCCACCAAGTTTGTTCACTTTTGAACCAAAATGTTGTCACAAAAGCAAAGAAGAAACCAAAAAGAACAAGATAAATATGATACGATTATTTTTNAGACTAAGGGTGAAATTCAAAAATAGCCAGATACACAACTGGTCGTTCAAAAATAGCTCAGTTTCAAAAGTAATCGAAATTTAGTCACTTTTCATGTAAAGATAAATCTGAGCGAAAATACTGTTCAAAATCCGGAAAATACGCCAGTATATTATGCTGGAGTTCCAGCATAAGTATACTTGAACTCCAGCATATTATACTGGAGTTCCCGGATAAGTATGATGGAACTCCAGCATAATATGATGGAGTTCCAGCATAAGTACACTAGAACTCCAGCATAATATACTGGAGTTCTAGCATAAGTACACTAGAACTCCAGCATAATATACTGGAGTTCCAGCATAATATACTGGAGTTTGGAGCACTGGTGCTCCATTCTCTAGTATATTATACTGGAGCCAGCAAAGTATACTGGTCCAGCATAATATGCTGGAGTTCATATACAGGTGCACCGAACTCCAATATATTATGCTGGACCGGACTCTGTTGCAGCAAAATAATGGCTATTTTTTATTGAATTAGTAAACGCTGACTATTTTTGAATAATCAGTCCGAAAACTGGCTATATCGTGCTATTTTTACGAAAAAGTTTCATGGTTGAAATTATTTCCACCTTTTGGTTCTCTTTAATCTATAAAAACGTTTGAAATTATTTCCACCTTTTGGTTCTCTTTAAACTATAAAAACGTTTACCTTCACACTCCTGTTCACTTGCTTGTGTCAGTACGTTAACTCTTTAGTACTTATTCATAATCACAAAAGTGCGCCTTGTTCACTTTGCAAGGAAGGAAAGGCATGTATGCAGTCCATAAAAAAAAAATAGGAAACTGTAACATGAAAGAATAAAGAGGAAAAAAAAATATGAAAGAAAACATGAAAGGAGCAGGACAGGGCAAGGCTCGGCGAGGTGGGACGAGAGCAGAGCAAAATTGTGAAAAAATACTAAACAGAGCAGGGTAAGACAGATTAAACCTTTAGCGGATAAAGGCTTGTCGTGCCCGCCCTGCCACATTTACATGCCTGTATGCAGGTAGAAAAAGACAGATCAAACTATGGACAAAAATTGTGAGTTATATCAAATTACTTCTTTCTTTTTTCCTTTTTGGTTTGTCATTGAATCAGAAGCCTTAAGTATTTATTGCTTGTTCAGTTGCTCTTAGGGAAACGTGTATAAAGTAGGCTCTACTATCAAAATTCGTACCATGTATCTAAATATGTTGAATTTCAACTCAAATTTTTCAAAAATAATAAGTACTGTAATACAAATAACACCAATAACTTCCTCAAGAAGTAGAAGCTACAATCTTGATTTCAACATCCTCAAACAGAGGAACGAAAACCCTTCAAGACTTGAGACAAATAACTAGTAATTGAATTGCTAATTAAAACAATTAAGATGCAGTTAAATTCAGATAAAATGGAAATCCTGTATCTGGTAGCCATTCTTTTCCTTCAATAAAATTCCCAACAGTAAATTGAGTGGCCTCAACAGAATTATTGATAACCCTGTAACCAGCCCAATTCACTCTAGCACTTGTATTAGAACCTGGTCCTCTGTTCATGTACTCTCCATAGTAAAGTGTATCCAATGCAAAGGTACCATTCCATTCTAAATATCCAGCAGGTTCAATTAAAGTACCAATATGTGTTAGCATAATAACTGTCCTTGAATATTCTTTCCAGGGTCGACCAATGTAGTTTTTGAACGATGATTGTACTGGAATTAAATCTGCAGCTGCTGCGATTTTACTGTTCAAGATTGAAATTCCAGTGTTCTGATTTGGATCTTCTCTTCCTTGAGCTGTGAATATGTTTTTTTGGTTCTCGTTTGGTTTACGAGCATATAAGCTGCAGTTCTGGAACACAACTGCTGCGTTACCAAAAATGAAGTCGACTGTCCCATAAACGTCACAATCGCGATAAAATTGTCGAAGGGAATGGACGTAGAGAGTGTCTTGGTATGCAACAAAGCTGCATTGGTAGAAGGCTGAGAGATCTGAGCCACTTCTAACTGCCACAGCTTGGTGCTTGCTTGGTCCAGCATAGTTTTCAAATGTGATGCCCTTTGCTAAAAATCCATTTCCCACCACAGCTGCAGTAAACATTTAAAAGTTTTAGCTTCTGTACGCTAATAGTATAAACAAAATTATATACCTAATTGTTTAACAAAAATGAGATTACTAACCTAGAAAAAAAGGTAGATATCCCCGACAACAACTTAAACAGTAATGATTTTTTTACCAAGACAAAGTTTAATTTCTATGCGCTGATGTAAAAGATTTTACAAACCACTTAATTAATTAAGAGATAAACATAGATAATTTTCTATAATAAGCGGGATTAGTGTCGGAGAAAGTAAGACAAGATTACCAGGTACATATGCTAATATTAAGGTTTTTACACTATCATTGAATATAATTAAGGTAAATCCGAAGTCAAAGACCAAAAGAAAAAAGATCCAATCGAGTAAAGCATTCTTGAGTATTTTATACACAACGAGACAAATGTGTAGACAAAAACTCGAGGAACCAAACTAGTTTAAGAGTTTTTCTTCCGTGGGACACGGTAACGAATAGATGGGTAGAAGGGTCCTACTAAATAAGATCACCGGCCAGCATGTTGACTAATTATTTGAGCCCTTTAAAATTAGAAAAGAGAGTTTCATTTTTATTTTGTATTTGTACAACTTTATAGTGGTCAACAGTGACAAGACGAAAAAAGCAAAGAGAAAAGGAAATAACGAAACTTTTTTCATACATCCATAGGGCGACCCTTTTTGGCTTATACATGTTTTAAAACGCCACTGTATGTTCAACTAGCTGAGTGCACAAGCTTTAATGGGATAGCTAGGCCACAAAAACATCATATATTTTGGTAATAAGGAAGAGCAGGGACCATGAAAATCATTTGCTAGCTTGATGAAGAAAGACCCTTCTCTGTTTGCATGCAGAAGTAATAGAGTACTACTTTTTCGTCATATTCATTTCATAAATTAAGTAAACTTTTGGGTCGACAAATATAGTTGGATTTCAGGGTGTCATACTATAATACTCCTACTACTTTTGAAGGAATTATACTACTTTTTCTTATCAAGCCCTCGTTTTCCAGATTCTCGATCAAGCTTTAATTATAGGAAATTTTCTCTAGATGGCACATTGGCTCTGGAAATGAAACTCAATGTCAATGCATAATATGTGCTTGAAGCTCCAAGATCTTCCCTTAAAATCGGTAAGGCAAAAATCTCCAACAGCATTGAACTCCATTTCTTTTTACTGGCAGCAGATTAAAAGCTCTAAAGGTATATATGACTAGCTAGCGTTCTAGGTTAACGTTAGAAGTAAGTATTTAATTAAGAGAAACATATAGGAGTACTTCATATGTCCATTTTGTGTTTCACATTTTTTTTTAAAAAAATTTGTCCAAAAAGAATAATATTTTCTTATGTTTAAAAATAATTCAATTCTAAAATTTTTTAGTCATTGATTTATAGTCATAAAAATATTTATAACTTGTTTTAAACTATAAATTTAGAAAAACTTTTCTAAATTCTGTGCAAATTAAACACCGAGTCAGATAAATTAGAAAGGGAGGAGTATGTCATATTGGCCTCTTTTCTCCTAACTGTGTGCGCAGTTAAGTGTAGTATATTTTCCCCCAGTCTAAGCCTGTGTTTTTTAAATTTTAAATATGATTTGAGGCCGCTGTATATTAGATAGATTGAACCCGAAATCACGATGGATTAGTGGATAGATAATAAATAGTCCAATTTCCACACAGTCTCACTTTACTTGCTGTACTCCAAAATGCTCACCAAGACATCATTGTTCATTTTATGATGCTCCAAAATGCATTTTCCTATTTCTTCCCACCGACACTATCAAATCAACATCCATACCCTTTATTATGCCTACCCTAAGGAATATATTATGCCACTTTTTCAATGGTTACACATCGTCTACTGTGACTTTAATTTCTCGAAAACTTTTAGCTGTAAGTTTTACGAATATGCAGATCGCCATTTTAAGGAGTATCTTATTCGGTTGATTTTGAACACAGACTTTCGGTTAGACAACCTTGAGAAATGAGTACCATTGACTTTTAAAAGAAAATCACTGGTTTAATTGTACAAGGCTTCAACTTATGATGCAATACACATAAGTTTCCTCCACTTAGCTTAATATAACAATATAAAAGTATTTACACAAATAATATTAAAAGCTAACAGCAACTAAGCATATGACTATGCATGTTACGCTAAATGTACACTGCCTATGGACGAAACTAAAACTAATTAAGAAAAAAATAGCCTAGTCTATACTATTGCAGAAAATGTCCTTATGATGATATATAGTAGTAATAAACAGTATTATGAGCTATAAAGGTATAAATTATTTTTTTCCAATACATACAAAAGTAAGATTTGATGCGTTAGATTTAAATATCTAGAACACGTGACACTACAGCGAACGCGTCAACATCGAGATCTCGAGCATCTGCTCACTGGGACCCTCGGGCTTAGTCAAAATGAGAGAGACCACTACTTTCTTAACTTTCTTTTTACCATTATTGCACTTTTTATGTAAAACTGTCGTACTCTAATATTGCATGACAAAGCATTGGAAGATTCTGATTAAACGAACTTACAACAGAGATCTTAATGATAATATTTTTAACTTCAAACTACTCCCTACGCCCTAATATAGGCGTTTCATTAGAGTAAGCAAAGTTACTAAGATAAAACTTGAAATTTTACATTTAAATAAAAATAGGTTGCGAAATATATTTTTTGATAATATGTACTGTTAAGATATACTCCCCCGTTCCAACTTATGTGAACATGTTTGACTGGCACGAAGTTTAAGATAAAACAAAGACTTTTAGAATTTGTGATCCTAAACAAGTCAAAAATGGACCCAGAGTATTTGTGTGGTTATAAAGCTTCTCATTAAGGGCAGAATTATAAATTTAAGCTAAATTGTTTCCAAATTTAGAAAGGGGTTTGATGATAGGCTATAATTACGTATCTTAGTCGCTTATTACACTCTAATTTACTGCACTTTAATTGAGTTTGAGCTTTAACCGCTAGTGTTTTGCACTAATTGTGTGTTTTATGCCTTGTAGGAGTGATTCCGAGCTATGTAGATGTTATGGAATGAATTCAAGTGATTTGGAGCTTTGAAATCTGAGTAAAAACCTAAGGAATTAAGCCGGGATCGTGTTCGGGGATCAACGGATGATAGTTAAGAACGAACGAAGAATCGAGTAGGCATATTGCGTACTTTTTGTAAAATGCACATAACTTTTCGCTCAGAACTCCATTTGGGCTCCACAATATATGGTTGGAAAGATAATTCAAAGGGGTACAACTTTCATGTTTACGTTTTTCTCAAATTCCCAACAGAATAGGGTGAAAGTGCGTGGTCGCGCACTGACCGGGCAAATAGGGCAGAAAGTGTGAAATAAGCGCGGCCAAGTGCGCGGGCACCCTTCCAGGTGCGCGGCCGCGCACGCCCTGTCCGGGAAAAGTGTCCTTTTTCGCGCAGGAGAAGGTGTAATTGTTTGGGCCCGACCCTACTTGGTATATATACATGGAAAAACGGTATTTTGAGGACTTTTGACATAATTTAGACCTAAGGAGACACTACGTTAGGGTTACACAACACCTTCGGAGGCAAGAATATACGAGGAGCAAGGAGGAATATTCAACCACGAGTTTTTCCTTTCTTCTTCTTGTTTTCTATTGTTGGTTATGAATTTTAGTATTGTATTTTCACATACTTTTATGAATAGTTAATTTATTATCTAGAGTTTTGATGGAACCTCTTGGAGATGAATTCTTGTTATATTTTAATATAATTTAAGCTTTGGATTTATTTACTTGTTCAACTACGTGATTATTTCAGTTGGTTGAATGGCCATCGATTGACTGTGCCTATTTAGTATGTGTTGCTTGAGAAAGGATATATATTTAGGTGGTTGTTGAACAACGTCACTCCTAAGGTATATGAGAGATCAATGCGGCAGGTTTAAAAGCGGGATTAGAGATAACGAAGCTTTGACGTGATCATAGTGAGGGGTGAAAAAGTGCGAGCTAGCGTAATTCGAGAGAATATGACTAGTGCATTATTGTAGTTGCTCGAGAGAGAATTACGATAAGTCGAGTGCTCATGATCAGTAGAGAATAGTTAGGCGAAATTATATAAGACATGGCAGGAAGGACTCCGATAATTGGGGAAATCATAACTCTAGACCTCCTTAATTTAGTCTCCAACCCTTAGTTTCTTTAGTTGATAAATTTCTATTGCTTTTTGATAGTTATTAGTTAATTAATTTAAGTAACTTAAAAGTTATTTGAGCTTGTCCTCTTGGTGATATTGACAGTTATAGTGAAACCTTAGTTCTCTGTGGGATTCGACTCCGGACTTTTAGACCGGATTATATTTGCAGCGACCGCTTATCCTTTTTAGGATTAGAGTTGGGCGCGATCAGGATCATTCTTTTTGGAATGGATCAAAAAAGAAATAGGTTCACATAAACTAGAATGGGGGAGTAATTAACTAAGTAATATATTTTCTTTAATAGCTTAAACATTTAAATGAGATTGTGACGTATTCCAAGACAATAGCAAAATAGAGAGATTCTGGGTTCAGGGTCTGACATCCAAAATGGTAACATGTTATAATTTTTAAGTTACTAATTAAGTTATCTCTATTATCTTTAGATAACACGATAATTTTTAAATATTTTTCCACCATCATCATATTTAAAGTAAAAACTATATTCGAATTTATTGAGATGGTCTGTTATATTTCTAGAGGAAAGACTGATATAAAGATTATAGAGTTATTGGTCTCATCTTCTAATACTTAAAAGGTAAACTATGTCATTATTTAACTAACTAAATCACCTGAAAAAAGCAATCAACCAAAGCAAACAAAAATAAAGCAGAAGATAACTCCAACAGAGAATTAATTAAAGTAAAACTTGGAACTCACCGACGGTAGCAGATCGGAAAGTAGTCCATCCATCGACGACACTCCGATTACCCTTTATCAACGTCTTTCCGATCCCATCTCCGAGGAACATTATCATAGGCTTCTTCCTCACTACTTCAATATATTCATAATACGCTCCCGCCTTAATGTAAATAACAAATCTTGTCCTACTCGCATTAGGAGCTGCACTTAACGCCTCGTTAATTGTACTAAAATTACCACTACCATCTTTAGCCACCACTAAATCAATCTTGGTCTCATTAATTGGAGCTTGCAAAAGTGCTCTGTCTCTCTTCTTAAGCCATTTCGGGAACCCATTTTTTACAGCACCGTACTCAGGGTAAACTTGTCGAGAATTTGAAGGAAATGAGGATGATTTCTTCATTTTCTTGAGCATTGCTAGACAATTACTAACATGGTGAGCAATTGTATGCAGGTTATGCTGAACGTAACGTCTTAAGTTCTTTTTACTACGCGCAAGGCCGTCAAGGCAAGTGGCCTGATTTGTCATTGCAGCACTAAGAAGAGTTTGTAAGTCATTGTAATTTTGTGAAAGAGATTTTTTTGGGTGGAGATCAGAGAGAGTTGTTTTGAGCTCAATGATAGTGTTATCTAAGAGCTGAACACAATCTTCTAGAGCTCGTTTTTCGTAAGGTTCAAGTCGGGGGAGATCCTCACGAATTTCAGTACAGTTTTTAGCAGAGGCTTTTACCTCCGCGACTGTGACATTTATAGTCGAAGAGATGATTTGGGAAATGGATTTTTGGGCAAGATCTGGGATTACGGAAAGAGTAGAGACGCAGAGTTTTGGGTAACGTGTGTCTTCACAATGGGAATTGGCTATTTGAATGTTCTTGTGAACGTGAATATGTTGGGTTGTTTGTACTGTTTTTGAGGAAGATTTTTGGTTGTTTGAGAGAGTGAAGAATGTGAGAGATACAATGGCTGAGAAAGCGAAGAGAGCGAGCAGAAGTGGAGTTCTCCGTCTGAGATTGTACATTGTGTAAAACAGAGAGACTTGCACAGCAAATTAGCAAGTTCAAAATTTCCTGACGGAAACTAAAGAGACAACTGCTCTCTTAAATAAGTATACAAATTTGGTGCTTTTGGTAACAAAAAATTGACATGTTAGGTTTTCATATAAAACTTCTTTCTTCTAGCTAAGGGATACCACTTTATAGTGACTGTGTAATAAATAGTAGTAATTTAAACTGTTATACTGAGTTCATATTTATTTTAAGTTACTACATGTAATTACTTTTTAAGTCACTTGATTATGTAAATAATTTTTATATCGTCAATGCTAGAACATAAACTCATTCTATTGATATTTTTTATTATCGTTTGAATGACTTTGATGGTATAGAAAATGTCACTACATAAAATGATTTTGAAAGGTTTTACTAACAGAAAACTACTCGTAATGCAAATACTTGAAAAAGCATTTTTTTTCTTCTAGAAAAGCACACACTGATTTCGGATCCGGACGCCCATATCTAGATTCCAGGAAGGTGACGAAAGTAAATGACAGTTATGAGGGTTAGCTTTTTAAATTTACTCCCTATCAAACAAATAAAATAGAATGGACAAAAAAAGAAAAAGGTTCCCCTTTACTTTTGCATCTCACAGATTGGTGGCATAGACACTCGACTCCAAAAGAAAGAGACTGGTCCTAACTCATGATCCAATGGAGCCGTGCCATATTATTAGTAGTTTGTTAGTCAAGTGTTTCTAAATCGTCGAGGACTTACCGCTTGAGTGCCGCATAGACGGATCAAGAATTTTGTATTAAGTAGGAATTGATATTTGTTCCTTTGGTTAAATAATTTAGAATTCAACTAAGTGCATCATTCAACCTTTTTGGTGCATGGGACAAATAGATATTATTAAACCAATTCTGAAATAAAATATCTAGCTTGATGAAAAGACCATAGGTTCACGTTGCCCCATATGCTGGGTTATAAATCCGTCCCGTTGAGTGGAATGAGTTATGGCCTCAACATAGCATCAGGATATCAAAACTGCTACTATTACAGTACCATTTTAATTTTGTTCATTCGTTTCGCTTATTTGAGTTTGAATTTTGAACTGATGTCGGTGAGTTTGTTTATTGATAGCTCACACAGCAATAATAGTCATTAGATTGATAATCATGGGGATCAAAGGAGCATACCGTTACGTTTACTTAGTTTGTATTATTGGTGCTTAATTGGTGGATGATGATATACAGCCAGAATCACGGGGTAGTTGGTTTACTGCCGCATGAATTTTCAGCAGGGATTTTGCTTTAGTCCGCTCCAACTATATATGGACAATCGTTATGGACTATATGTACGATTCAAATTTCATGGTTTTACTCGTCATTGAATTATTGTACTTATGAAATTTCGGAGTCAAAACATAGAATTTGTAGTTTTTCACAATATCTGTACTCCATATATATAGAATGTATATTTCATATGTTCTTGACTTTATTTCATCCCGAATGAATCGTTTTGGTCATTATGTTTGTTCCACAATATTTGATGCATGTTTGAGAAAAATAAGAAGTTATTTATATATACGTATCATACTAAAAATATCAATTAGTAGAGTGTTAATTAAATAAGACTTTTAAGGAAAGATAAATGATATTTTATGCTAATCTCTGGTGATTAAGGCTGTATAATTAAAATATTATAGAAATGCATATCAAATTCACACTTACCCTATAAAAGATGGTGAATCTAATTATATTCCGCATGCATTGAGAAGTAAAAAATTCCGATAGTGGTACTGCATGAGATCTCAGCATCTTCTCTCGTAATATTGTTAAAAATTTAAAACTCCCTATTTTGCATGCTCTAATATTCTATACATATTAATTCGATTAATTCAAATTCACGTCATGTAATATTAGAGGGCAACGCTCTATGCCAAGGATTTCTCTACTTGAGATCTTAGTGTTTGTCATTTAAATTCGTCGTCTCAATAATTTTGTTAAAAACTCAAAGCTCCCCAAATCGCACGGTCCAGCTGACAGCGCAACGGCTTTGGCACGGGAAATTGATTAACTCCCTGCAGGAATTTAATTCACTTCACATGTGTGTTGCTCCCAAAATAGAACCTTAAATCCAGGTCCAAGAACATGTATTGTCTTACTTTGTCTGTAACAATTATTTTATTTCCCTTCCGCTCCATGGCAAACTTTAAACCAAAGTTCAATTACATGTAATGTCTTCGTTTTTCTGTGATTCTGTTTGGAATCCCTGCTACTTCCACGTAGAACAATTGACTGCAAATTCACATTAGATCCGATCTGTTGTTCAGCTAAATTGAAATAACTCCGGTACGTACGCGTATGCATAAGTTTTTGAGATTTCCACATAGCTAGCAAAAATACAACAGCGGTTCTAAACGATAATAATGGAAAGTAGAATTGAGCCTTTTCAATAGTAGAGGAGGAAATTTGATTCCTTTTCTCATTTTCCAAACATTCTCAAATACTTTAATATAGTAAAATACTGTATTTACAATATCTTTGCGTAGGTTTCAAGTGCGTATATTTTGTTTTAGAATTTAAGAAAATTATAACAAAAATCAGATGATCCTTTTTATTGGGTGTGCGAACAAAGTACCACATTAGTAGCTGAAAAGATTGGGAGTCTACATATAAGGTGTATGGATCTCTTAATGGTATGAGGCCTTTTAGGGAAAACCGTACGGGCTTGGCCTAAAACGGACAATATCACACCATGTTAAGAGTATCATTGGGCCGTTTTAACCCAACACTTTTATATGCCCCTTTTCCTCTTTCTTAGATGGCTGGAGTACTAAATACCACATATGCTTAACGTCTTTGAATACTCAAATCAAATCTGACAAGGAAGAGGTATTATTTAAAGTGAAGAATATGAGCAACTAACGAGGTCATTAACATCTCATTAAAATCGGATGAATATTTAACTAGTTTGTAGGAGGGAATTAAGAACACTCTTATGTATTACTGTACTGTTTTTAATCAAAGAAGAAGCAAAATCATAAACCTAATTAAATGACATGAAGATGCAATTTAGTTCATTTTCTTGCCAAAAAATATAAATGGAAATCTTTTTATTTATTTATAAATATTGCCAATAGTAGGAAGTTAAATAGTACAATATTTAAGCAGCACGAGTAGTAGGTTTTTAAACTTGTGCGCTTGCCCGTTTAAGAACTTTTTAACGGTAACTTAAAGTAATTTAACATATTCCCTCCGGTTCACAATAAGTGTCCAATTTGCTTTTTTATTTTGGTTCAAAATAAGTGTCCAGTTATGTAATCAAGAAAGAATTCAATTTGTTTTTCCAAAAATAATCCCTATGTACATATCCCTAAAAAGTTATCTTACTCCTCACATTAAATATTTAATTAGGGGTAGTTTAGTCATAGTAGGTATTTTTGTATAGAATTTGGTATTTTCTTAATGGGCGTGCTAAAAGCAAATTGGACACTTATTGTGAACCGGAGGGAGTATATGCTTTTTATTAACTCTGAGTAATAAATATAAAAGTACGTAGTTGTCGATTGGAGTGTATTTAGAAGTTTCCATATGTTGTATTTTCCGTCTGTATCTTCGGCTTTTAGTATCTTTTGACATTATGTGCGAAGGTACCATTTCGTAACCCGTGAGATTTAGACATGTTTAATTTATGTATTAGATTCGTTAATTAATTATCACTTCAGCTCCTTTGAAGTGTTGGGGACTGATACTAAGGCAGGCGAATATTTTTACTGCATTTATATATGTGTATGTAGATCCGAAACTGGAGAAATTTTTTACCTAAAGAGTAGGACAGTTAAACTATACGCCAACTTTTACTACCTCCCGTTTCAAATATTTATTCGTATTGGAAGTTGCATTTCTTCCCAAGATGTCTCATTTTAGAAAAAATAAGAGTATTTGTTACTATTTTTTGCTACAAATTTACCCTTACTGTTCCAATTCTAAAGTTACGCATGATAATGTTGAAGAGCAAAGAGTTGGGCATGTTTTACCAAAATGAGTAACGCTATTAGATATCTTTCTTATGAAATGTGTAAAAATGTTTAATAACGCACACTACAAATGTAGCCTCAATTGAGTTGGGTGTTTCGTTGCCATAGAAAAATTACCTTTTCCATTGTTACCCTCAAAATCGGATAACAATTAATTTGTAAGTGGTTTTAAGGATACGTGGACCAACTTAATACGAAATGATGAATTAAAATGCAATTGAAATAAAGTATTATGAAGTAAATTCAAACTGCACGAATTGAACAGTTACAACCTTGGGGGGTAGGCCACCCTTGAACAGAATGCACTTCGATCAGTGTCAAGGCACAATTTAATAAGAATTTAAAGAGAAAATAAGTATATTGCTTCTGAATGATTGTTACAATGTACTTTACAAGTAATCAGACCCCCTTTATATAGTAGGGGAGTCCTACTTTAGGTACAATTTTATAAAAGGTAAAAATCTCCTGATTTGCTAATTTGCCGATTCCTTATTGATACGTGCCGAGATTCCCGCCATGATACCCGATTGGTTATGGATATTTCGGCCTTCCGTTATTTCGGTCTTCTGTTGGTTATACCGGCAATGTTTCCTCGAGCTCATTCGAGGCCAGGGTCGATTCTAGAATCATGGACTCGATATTCTCGAGGACGGACATTCTGACCTCGTGTTGTGGTTCGATGAGACTCGGGGTCGATCTTCAATCCCTCACATTCCGAACCCGATCTGTCATGTAGTAGACGAGCTCGATTTCGACCGTATACAAATAGTCCCCTCATTTTTCGGAGAGTAAACGACGAGAAACGATATGAGCTTCCGATTCTCACCTCGATACTCCGAGTCAGAAACGACAAAATGAACGAAACGTCTCGTCAGTCACGTCTTAATGGCGTTAAATGCTCGTCAGTTGCTGGTCGGCCACATGTGGATTTGAACCATTGTTTGAAAATTATAAATACCCCCTTCTCCATTCATTCAAACTTTACATCCAAACCTTCTCTACTCTTATTCCTTAGAAATCTCTACATTTTCTAGCACTTGTATCCTGATTTCTTGAGATCTTTGTAAGAACTTCCGCTTGTATTCACTCCAAACCATCAAGTGT